TTTAAAAAAAGTTGGTCAAGTCTTCTTTTGTTGCATCAGTAGTTGTTGTCTTGTTCTTAAAACTAAGAACTGTTTAACTTATGTTATTCTACATTAATTTGATGTGTTGTGTTCCTTTGTTGGCAGCTTCTATGAGATTTTCTTGTCCTGTAATGAATATGAATTTGAAAGAGTTGGGGAAGCATCAAGAAACTCCTTGCAATTCCAAGCTTACTTGTCTCAAGCTGAGATTTTTAACTTGCCAAATTGCCTCTAATGGCTGGTATTGCTAAAAGACTTACCCTATGGGCACATCCTTCTGTACTCTAACTCTTCCAGGGTTCTCTGCATCCAGTACTGATTATTCCTAGATTTTCCATTTTAATCCAGTCTGCTGCTCCCAGTGCTGGTCGGCAGTTAACACATGCTCCTCTCTGCTGGCAGAATCTCCTACAATCGCGTTCAAGTAATGATGAATTAGTAAATGGTTGTGATTGACTAAACAAGAAGAGCTGAATTTGCCAGCTCACAGCAGATAGCCACATTGTACATTAAATTTCCTTACATGTTTGACAGAGGCCTTTAGTTCTAAAGCATTGATTTGTTTTTTTCCTTGATGGCCTGGAGCAGTGTTTGTGCTGCAGGTTCTATTTTGCCACCCTGCTACTGCTGTGCTCCTCTCTCCATTTCTCTTCTTCTTTGCATCGGTGGTGGCTAAAATCTCGTTTGACCTATGCTCCTGTTTTCCTCCCTTATTTGTTTCTTGTGTACCAAATCCTGTTTATAGGCCATCTGAATGTATTGAATGTATGGTGGTTTTCTTTTTTTGTTTCAAAGACCTTTAAACAAGGCTGTTTGAGGCTTGATTGGAGCACGTAATGTAATACAGTGCTCTTAAGAATCCTAACTCTGTCTGGCATCAGCTGATGCTGTGTCTTATTTAAACATACTGCAGACTTCTTGATGTTTTTCCCCTGGGGGACTGACTTCCTGTGATAAAATGAGATTCCCTTTTAAAGTAGAGGTCCATGGTTATATAATGAGAGTAGGAAATAGTCCAAAAGTGACACTGGGAGAATTTAAGTTATTTTGGTAACTGACTGTTAGACAGGAGAATAGAAAATATGCTTAGGAGTGTCCTAGTAACTTGAATTCTCTTTGGAAAGTGAGAGGAATACATTTAAGGAATTAAGTAAGGGAGTGACCAGGTCAGATGAGCAGAAGGGAGGTTACGTTAAGGACATAGTTGTACAGTTCGCATCTAGGATTCTTCTTAAAAGATTTAACTCTTTTCCAAATTACTTTTAATCTCCTCAATAAGCTGCTTTGTAGTTCTTAAGCATAATGCATCTTCAAGTTGGAACCTCTAAGAGCCATGCTGGTTTTTGTTTTTTTGATTTGAAGGTGTGAATATAGTTTATTTTTAAAATTGTATGTGTGGTTTTGTGTTCCCCGCCCCAGTAATGCCAGAGCAGGGAATTCCTTTCTTCCACCTGCACGTTCTGTTCCCTCTTACCAGTATGGCAATCTTGCAAAGATTTACGCAGTAGTCAAAACTGTTTTTTTTATGCTATTGGTAGGGCAATATTGAAATTCCAGAAGCAGATCTCCTTTACTCAGCAGGGGTTGTTAAGAGGCAGCAATACAAACTCCCAGGGAAGCCAACTGGATTCTGGCATTGGGTCACTAAACCTGCTCAGCCTTCGTAGTCTGCTCTTAGACAGAGGAGTTCAAGCTCAGTGCTGCATACACGCCACGCTCCGTACTGTCACCAGCCGTTCTTGAAAGTCTGATGTTTGTATGGATTTAAAATGGAGTATTGGTTGTGTATTTTTGTAAAAGGCTCTTCTAAAGAAATGTAAGATGTTAACTCCAGATATTCACATTTTGTTGTGTAATGAGATAATTCTCTATCCTCTTGCTCATTGTGTTTTTGATTTGTTTTCTCTTACGTTATTCTCATGTTTTGTACCTGAGTTTGTGTCTGTCCATGCCTCAAAGGAGGAATATGGGTGGGAGGGAAGGAATGAGACTACCATCAGTTTAGTTCCCAGTTCTGTTTGTTTCTTTCCTGCTTCCTCAAGTAACCTGTGCTGAAGTGTTGAGCTTTGAAATAATGCTGACACTGTAAAGTGTCATCTTCAGTAAAATCATTGGGGGAATCTACTTCTCTTGGGCCACGACTTTGGTCTGATTGCATATATGAAAAAGCAATGTTGTATTGTAGATAACACAGCTCCTGGGGGTATGCTCTGAGGTCAACGTATCTAGCTTTTTGGCAGAGCTCAAGTATCCTGGTAAGCTGCAGAACATGGAGTACTCCTGAATGGCGATATAATTTTGTATCTTTTTTTTTCCCTGTATAGAAGTGAAAAGGGAGATACTAATTTCGGTAGGTATAGTAAGTCTGTGTGTGAAATCCAGTTTGAGAATTACAGTTTTGAAAGCCTGAACTTGTAGGTGTTGGACAGCCATTCTGAAATCATTAGCTGAGACCATCCCTCTGTCTGTCTTCTAAAATCCTTTTCTTTGTCAGCTTTCTTCTAAAGAAATTGCATGTGAGGAGTGGGAGGAACAGATTGTCTGAGAGAAATGTTCTTGGCATAGCTGATGGGCGATGCTCACGAAAGCGATGCTCTCCGTTCTGTGCTGACAGGACCCGAGTGCCCACTGCCCGTCCCAGAGCTCCACTTCAGATGGCAGAGCTTGCCAAGACCAGATCCCCCGGGATCCCCTGGGATCCCACGCGTGAGGCGCTCTCCCACGGGACACGCAGGGTGTAGGAACGGCTGCCTTTCTGCCCGTTCCTTTCTGAAAGGACCCTCAGCTGCCTTTTGTCTGATACGCCTGTAGAAACATTGAAAATGCCCAAGACTGATCAAAATTAAACTGTTTTTCTTTCTTCAAGTCTGGGGTATATTTATTTTCTCTGGTATGTAATTTATCTGTAGCCTTATTTTTCAGCAGCCAAATATGCTGACTGTGCCTATTACATTTCCCAAATGAAATCCTCTGGCAAGCTTCACATCTTCTAATATAATTTTGAGGTGCTGATGTAATCAAATGGTTGAATGTGAACTGAACAGGAAATTATATGTTGCAAAACTTGCTCTTAAAGTCTGTATGGAATTAAAATGCATTTGTTCTTTTTATATATTTTACAGTAGGTATTTGTGGTATTCGGTAATTTCACTTTTGCTTATTTTTTTAATTGAAGAGATGTTAATTTATTGGATGCCTAAGGAGGGTAGGGGGAATCAAGACCGACAGTTACATATCGTTACCCTCATCAAAATTTTAGTGGGAGCTATTTTTTCAACTCTATTCTAGTAATTAAACATCATGCTGAATTTTGCAAACGTGAAGGGGGTAACACAATGAGTACATGAAAATAGTTAATCAGAATTGAAATGCATTAGAGCATCCTGATTGTACAACCATAAAGCAGTGCATTTTTCTAAGCAGTTGTAGTATTACTTAAACGAAGCTTAACAATTTATAAATTGAGGAATAAATTTTAAACACTGATTCGTAAACAATCCTCTGAAAGAGAAAAGTAAAATAGAGGTCATCTCTGATGTTGGATATCTTGTCTATCATATACAGATTACCTTGAGTAGTACTGTTCTCCATACTGAATTTTTAACCCATTCCTCTAGAGAAAGGTAACTTTAAGTGACTTGGAGGACCTACATTTTGTCCTTAAATTATTTTAATTTTCAAATTAAATCATGTTGGATCTAATTATTTATGAAATATAACCTTTGGATTAAGCTGAAAGATGTTACTGGGTTATTATAAGAAGTCAAACGACATTTCTCATTTTCCGATATCGGACTTTTTCAAAGTAATTTTCTCTCAGCAGTCCTGTTAATGCTTTGGATTCAAACCTAAACTTTTTTTGTGGGATGGGGGTAGAAAAAAAATGCTAGATCAGAGGAATAAATGGAATGTATTGGGGAGGGGGAATGAAAGCAAATAGTTTAGCGGGAACAGCACGTGAAGGATGGAAGTAGGGTGAAGTAAGTCACTATTAGTTATTTTGATTATTTTTTTTGGTAAGTCAGCAAGACAGTATTACTTTCTGCACTTTCAAATCATGAAAAAAAAAAAAATCAGAACATAAGAACTATTACAACAGGTCAGGCAAAAGGTTCATTTAAGTGGATCTGTGCAGTAGCACGCTTTCTGTTTTGTCCTTTATTCATCTCCTTTTCCCTGCTCAGGGGAGGGTTAATTGTGGGCTGGCTCCTCTTAACCAGCTGCACTGGAGCTTTAGGTGTTGATCGGCAGCTTTTGTGCTGCAGCCTGCCCGCGTGTGAATCCTGGGTGATTCTGTCTGGTGTTCACATGCACAATACGGCTTCTTCAGGGGCCTTTCAGCCCGGCTACCAGCGCTGGCCGACTGCAACAGAAAATGCCTTTTGTTCATAGAAGGCAAATAATCTGTAAACAGGCAAGTGCCGGTGTGTCGAGGAAATAACCAGCTCAAAAGTCTCAGTAGCTCCAAATGAAAAAAGATTATCTTTGGTTACTACTGTTACCTTTGTCCTCTCAGCGCAATTTATCACACTTGTAGCTCGCAGGTCACACTAATCGCTCTCATGTCCCTGCTTATCTCTTCTGAGCGTTTTTCTTTTAGTCTTCCAAAGTACAGGAGCCATAAGTTCTAGATGAAGTGCTTTGTATTATACTTCCAAGAAACATAAAGCCAAAAAGGGGGGTGTATACTGAGGGGACTGTCTTCATCGACTAAACAGGGAGGTGCACTGTATTTTTATGAAACTGACTCAAACCTTACAGTTTTTAATCTGGAGATGGCCTGTAAATTTTTTTCTTCACTAGTTTTTACTAACTGACTTTTTGTTAGTCTACTAATTTTTAAAAAATGATTATTTAAAAAAAAAAGTTTGTGTTCAAGATGCTCACCAGATCGATCTAATTAAAGGCAGTTTCTCTTGCTTTCACCTTTCTTTTGTGTAAACTCTAGGTTAATTGCGTGACTCATTCATTCTGTCTAGCTAAAGCTGAAAGGCTGCAGGGACGAATGAATTGCAGGCAGCAGATGCTTGGATGAAAGAAGAAACCAACCACATGGTGAAAATTTCTGAAGCATCTCTGTTTCCTTCTGAAAAGTGAGTTGAGAATAGACAGTCTCACTAGAGATCTGTGGAGTTGATAATTTCATAGCACATAATCAATGTTTCTTTTGATTCCTAAATACTCCATGACTTCTAGGTTTTGTCTTGATTTCTATGATCTAGCTATTAATAAATGCCACTGCATTTTGATTTGTTTCAGTTGTGTGCTATACAATGGAAAATCTGAATTCTGCATCTAGTTTTCTTTTGCATCTTGTGGCCAAGATGAGAATTTTTGTATGACTGGAATAAAATAATGGGGAGGCTGTGGAAGGAGGCTCAAAAACCAGTATGCTCAGTTGCAGCAGAGGGAGTAGGATGTTCAGGTGTCAGGAGCCATGGGTTCTGGCTTATGACTGTAGGATTATTTCTGTTTTTGTCCAGCAAGTCACTTGCATGAAACAAACAGGTGTTAAAACAGAAGTCAGGACCTAGAGTGCTTGGTTATGAGAGGGATAGACAGACACAGTCTTGCTGGTCTTTCAGGCTTTGTAACTCATGCATCCAGGCTTACCTTACGTCTAGAAGTTGAGCCCCTGCCATGAAGTGCCTGTGGCAAATGTTTGGTTGCTAATGTGCTTGCCAGAAGTGGGGCAGATGGCTTTGAGTGCTTTCAGACTGAGGAGGAAATAGAACCAGGTTCTCCAGCTCCCAAGGTGTGGAGCCCACTTCACTTAAAACGGGGACACTGTAGATGCTTTGGTAGTCTTTCAGCTGGATGCTGTTGGTGCATGTTTCACGTGCTTGAGTGTAGATGTGGGATCAGCTCCCTTGGAGGCCTATGTGAGGATGCTGGATTTCCATACCTAGAATATGCTGGATATTTGGCTTAATTGCCAGTGCCATCAGACAGGTACAACATCAGAACTTCAAACGCTGAATGAAGTTTTGTATGGAGGATGTGGCTGTCTAGAGCCTATCAGGCACCAGAACATGCTGTGTAATCTTTGTTGAACTGATGTCTCTCAAATCCTCTGAGCTGAACTTTAGGAGCCCAAGAACAGTATCTGGATTTTACTGAAAAAAGTGAATGGTACTATGGCCACTACTTCTCTCTCTTTTCCTTGCTCATTCTTGAGCAAGGGTGCCTTGTGCTGTAGCAACCTTTTCCTTCCATGCTGGTGTATTTGTATTCTTCTTCAGCTTGAGGCTGGGTTTAGAGTGTTCAGGGTATCTTCTTGTCTTTTTTAGAATAAATGCAAAGCATAACTGAAGTGATGTTGTAGAGTCTAAAAGTATTTCTGATTTCAAAAGCCAAGGAAAAAACCCACAAACAAACAAAAATCCCCTCCTGAACTCCTGATACTTGACAGAAGTCATCCCCTTATGATTCTAATAAGTTGGCTAAAAAATGTAAAAATGTCTTATAAGCATTCTAAATGTAAAATGGTAGAAATGGAGGGGAAAAAAGGGGGGAGATACTAAATATTTTCTGAATAATAAAGTGAACCTTTCTGTGAAACATCATCTTTACTAATTAATCATAAAATGAAGCTAACTTTCTGAAGTATAACAGCGTGTAACAAAAAGCTTTTTGATAAAGTTTACTGTTGGGAATGATCTCATCCTAGTGACCAACTGGTCACTGTGCAATGCTCGAACTATTTGCTGAAACAAAAGTATGCTGCATCGGCTGACCACTGAGTAAGCTGTTTGGTCGTGTTGGAGGGAGCGTTTGGATGCAGCCATGGCACAGCAGCAGGTAGGAGATGCTGTCTGTGGAGCTTATTATTTCAGTTCAGAAACAAGAGCTAATCTTTGAGGTAGGTTAAGCAAGAGCTGCTTCCTGTGAATTGAGTGTACTTCTTTTTCTGGCAATCACATTGATTTTAAGACTCGGTATGAAAGATTTATATTAAAAATGATGTAACAGTGATTCCTAGCTTCACAGTTTTAAGTTACTTATTTTAAAGCTTAGCACGGTGAATCAATAAGGCTTCTGTATTAAATTCACCCATCTGTATTTTGCACTGAACTTCTGTCTCGACAGAGAAAGAAATGGAGGCATCTCTGAAGCTGGTTAGAGCATTTAGCTAACACTCCCTTTAGATTGACTTTGTCACAGGCTTACATGACCAAAACACTCAGTGACTCCTGTAGCTATTGCGTAGTGATAGTCAGAATAAACCCTGATATGTTCACTGCTAAATATTGGCAATCGGTGTATTTGTGATCACGAATGCTGCTGTGATCACATCAGCTGCTGTGTCTGAAGTCCTCTTGCCTTTTGAAATGAAACCATTGAGAGAAGGACCCTTCTCCCCCTCTCCCCACATCCCATTACTGTGGGCATGGTCAGAGTTTAGGTATGGAAGCAATGGGATTTTATTTAGTAGTGCAAGCTACTAGAAGTGGTATGTGGTGAAATGCCATGTGCTTTCTACCTGTTTCCACTTGTTAAAATTATAAAATTGTTGCTTTAAAATACGCAGTTTATTGGAAAAACTTCCTGTAGTAAGAGCAAACCCCAGCTATTCAACTTAAGCGATTCTTGTGGGAGTTGACAGTTGTAACTGTCTCGCCTGATGAGATAGAATTCAGTAATGTGCCAGAAACAAAGTGAGTTTGGTTCATTCTAAATCAACTTTAAAAACTAGAAGTTGTAGTATTCATTGCTTTTGTTCTTTCAGTTTCCCACCCCTACATGATTATTTGTTGTGCTTGGATGCACTGAAAGCTGTATGCTGGTTCCAGTTTAAAATGCTGTATCTGTGTGGAGCGGGAGCCAAAAAGTTTGGAGTCTGCTGAAACTTGAATACAAGTATTTTATTTCTGTCAATGAAATGCTGAGTACTGTAAAAATAATGGAATTACATACGGGACAATGTATTATACTTGTCTTGCTTTTAGTTGGAATTTGTCTTAAAAATTACGGAAAAATTAATTAGTAATATTAGAGCCATAGCAGCTTCTAAGTCTGGAGGCGGCAGGAATGACTACATTTGACCTGGATGTTGTTGCCTTAGAAATCCCCAAACCCTGGGTGCCATAGAACAGAGCTGTGGATAGATGTTTTGTTTGGTTAGCAGCTGTCAGGTGGGTGGCACAGGCCAATTTCACCATATTCCCACCTCCCAGTTATATTTCATTAGTGGGGACCATGATATTTGGGAGTAGAGGCTGCAGGCGCGGGGTTGCTCTGCACATGTCGGCCTATTGAAACGGCAGGCAGTGAAACAGCTTTGTTGGATCTTCCTAGTGAGTTTAAAACGAATATTAATCCCCATCCCCTCAAATAAACCCCAAAACCAAAACGCAGACAAGTGCAGCTCAAAAGTAACTCGTACAAAAGCCAGCCCTGTGGGTGGGAGCTGCCTGCCTCGCTGCAGCTCTTGGTGTGGGCAGAGTGAGCGGGCACGTCCCTGCGCCTGACCGCGTCGGCGTAGTCCTGCTTTTATTTTGAGCTGGTTTAATGGCCAGTTGCAGCACTGAACTATTTTGTGGCTCAGCCAAGGATGCAAGTGAAACTGTGGATGGACATATGAACAGCTTTTTTATTTTTTTCTTTAATGAGTCTGAGCCGGAAAGTTTTAAGTTCAGACTAAAAGCAGGATGGTATAATTATTTTTTTTTTAATTGGTCTTTGCAGTAAGAACCTATGCATTAAACTGACAAGCTTTTCTGATTTGGTTAATGAGTTGAGTCGGCCTGAGCAGCAGCCATGAGCTGTCTCAGCACAGGGAGTGACGGGGATGTGCTCCTAGGGTCACCGCTCCTGGTTGCAGAGCAAACCGCAGCTCTTCTGGGACTGTCACCCCGAGTAACTTGTGTGCTGGAGCAAGCCCAGGTACTGGATTCAAGGCCCCTGTGTGGAGGAGAGAGGGAATTTGATTAGAAAGTTACTTCTGTTTTGGCACTGGAGCCGCTCTTCGGAGTGCTTTGCTGGTCAGCTGGGGCCTTGCTACGCTGGATAAATGACATGTTGAGTACGTGTGCGTGTTCTCCCTGCAGTGTGTAGGCTGCTTGTGCACCTTGTGGCTCTGCAGAACTTTGATTCCAGTAGCTGTGAGAAATAGAAATCAGATGGATTAAGTCTAGTGCTGGAAACTAGTTTTATTGGTACATCTGAAGCATTTTCACAAGGGATTTTTTTTTTTTTTTCATTCAGCCGTAGTGCAATATTTATTTTATTCATGTAGCTTTTGATTTCTGAAGACGTTATTTGAGATTCTGAAGGCAGTAAATCTGTGCACTAATTTACTTGATTGTGATGTAAAGTAATGCACATAGTACTGCTTTCAGTCTCGATGGGGAAACTGCTGCTGATCTGCTCTGAAGATGTAGCAAGGTATCGTTTTCCTTGATAAGCACAGAACAAGTATCTGAGAAAACAGTTCCACCAAGCTCCCTTTGTTTATGGTATCATTGTTGTGATAACAGGCAAACTAATACTGTTCTGTTGCCTTCACCGGAATAAAACAGGGTCTGTGGGGAAGGAATCTTGTAAGATGCCGAGTCTCTCACTACTTTTTTTTTTCCTGCAGTTGTTCTCCATCTCACTTTTTATTTACTGTGACTGAATAGCAATTTGCAAAAATGCAGCAAAATGAAAGTGCATGAGTCTCATCCTCCATACCTCTGTCTGGTTTTGCCGTGACCACAACTACTGATAGGTTTTCAAAAAATAAATGAAAAATAATGTTTAACAATGCGTTGCAGTGTCTTAGGGCAGGGTGGAGTGAATGTCAGATGAATGGTCTTATGCTGTGGTGCTCTGCAGCCGTCTTCTGCAGGGGTTTATTTAAGAGCCTCTCTGTGTCAAATACCCCACTATGTATATTGTGTCTCAGATCTCGAAACGATTTGTCATCTGTTCTAACACAGCTGTCTGCACCTTGTTGTTACCTGTCGTCACCTGATGTTGGGTACTAAGACTCCATCCCACTTTTTCACACTGAATTGGACAAATCTGGCTTTGGAGGCAGTTGCATAATGGAAAATTAGTAGTGATGTTCTGTTTCAGTTAATTGTTTTGTTTAGAAACTTTTTTCTTT